TCTCGTGGTCTCCTCTTTCTGGAACAGAGACTTGAATAGCTGATCTGTTCTGAAAGTGTTAGTGAGGTGCATCAAAATTGGCAATGAGCCTATTTTGTGGCTGTCTTCTCGCAGGATTGGCAAGTTGTATTGGTCGATTGGCTTCTCTAACAACTGGTGGAACAATGTTTTCATAATTCCTCCTTCCTTCAGCATCAGCCTGGTCTTGTCTCCTTTGATTATTAGCGGCTTGAGCAGCATTCCTAGGGATTTGATTTCCCTCTGCATCGAGTTGTTGCTGACCATCTCCTTCATGAGCAGCATCTCGGTCATCACCATGAACAGAATCATGGTCATCGTCTCCAATGTGATCCTCCTGATCACGATTTAAAAGATCTTCCCGATGGGCACCCAAATTGGCCATCTTGAGCGTTCTTCGTCTGAGTCTTCGAAGTTCTCTTTCGTGTTTGTCAATCTCGTCTAAGGGCTGTACGATATTAGCAGGATTTCTCCTAGTATTCATGCACCTGTGAGCAAAGAAAGCAAAGATAAAAAGAAAAGTTACAAAATCTCCAGCAGAACTCGAAAATCTTATGGTCTAAGATTGAAATTAGATTAAGTAATCAGGTCAACAGCGACAGATCCCCGGCAACGGCGCAAAAAACTTGATGTGAGTGCAGTAGGCAACACAAGTTTTACCCTAGACAAGCTGCAAGTGCACAGCAAACGCAGTAGTACTTAGGGACCGAATCCACAGAGATCTATGTGTTGAGCACTTCTAACTGATGCTAAAAACAATCGTAGGCCTAATTTAAATAAAAGGGGTTTGTCACTAAATCTAATTTTGCAAAGAATTAAACAGGCTTGAAGTAAAAATCAGTTGAAAACTTATATGAAAAACGGCGCTGGGTTCAAGGTTCATCTTTAGGATTCATGTTCTAAAACACAAGGAATTTAGGCAAGGATTTTCTATGACTCTGAAACTAGGATACACACATGTAAGGTTAGCCAACTCTCGTCACCTTAATTATCTAATCACTTGTTCATGGCAATTAACTCTCGCTCTCATGCCAGAACAAGATCATGCTTTGTAGATCGGAATCCATCTCTGCTTACGTTTCCTCCATAGGTAGCTTTCGTCTCCTACAATGGTGACGTCCATAAGATCCAGTTCAGGCAACCCAGATACAACACTCTCGTGGCTCGGATTAAACCTAGGATCGGATTCTAGGTGATCAATCCAGAATTACTGCTTTGAGATTTGGATGAATGGGAGAATCATGTTAAAAATCGTAATCCTTTTTCCTATAAACCTAGATGTCATTCGAACATGGGGTCCTTTTTGGATTACTCTTTCACCCAACTAGGTGACTACTCAGACATGGCTGAGATAGACATCATCATCGGTTTAGAACTAAGAAGAAGAAAAGTAAAAGAAACAAAGTTGTAGAAAAACTACGTTCAGCTGCTTTGGTCCTCCTGGCTGATCTACTTCCAACTGCTCCATTGTTTGGTTCATTTGTTCCAGCACCTCCGTAAGCCTATTTAGTCTGGTATTCATGGCTTTCCTGCCTGGCTGCCACTTGGTATAATTTCCTTGGTGGTATTCATGGCTGCCACTTGTTATAATTTCCTTGTCTGACTTCCTCGGTTCGCAAGTCGCTGCTGTGAGTTGTTGAACCGTTCGATGATATAAAAATACCTCGCAAAAAAAGAACAAACACGTTAGTAAAAGCTCCTCACAAGTGTTTTCACTCAGTGTTTTCACTCAGTTTTTCACTCAACCACTCTTAATATCCTCATAACACTAGAAACTCTCCTCGGTTCTTGTAGAAATAGATTGAAAAACCTTATTTAAGCCCCAAACCAAAACAAAATATCAAACGTTTTACAATAACAAAAAGTGTAGATAGAAAGAAAAGACTTTGATTCAACGAGATCTCTTTTTTTATTTTTTTTTTCTATGCTTTCTTTTTTTTTCTATAGATCTGGATTTTATTTTTTTGAATATTACAAAAGAAAGAAATGAAAAGGCAGAATTTTAAAAGACAAAGAAAGGAAAGATAATAACGATTTCAAGGGTGTGGCTCTGATACCACTTGATACGATTTTCCTAGGATTATCACACTCTTGATCGGATTGTGGTTGATAGATCCTTGCCTCCAATGGATCCACGGAGAGAGAGGCTAAGGGGTGAGTGAATACTTGAAGATCCTTAGGCCCAATCTCACGTGAATAGCTTGAAACAAGGGGGTGACTAAACTGCCTGATTGGATCTGCGGAAAAAGGATGTTAAGGCTTGAGAACTGAGTTCTCAAAAATCCCTTAAGCCCCTTTAACTACTTGAACATCCCAACGAAACAACCGGGTGAAGGCTGCATCAAGTTTTATGAGCGACACTTGATACACTGAACTGATAAAATTGCTAACCACCAAAAAATCAAAGAAGTTCACGAAGAACAAAAGAGAGAATCTCTAAAATTTTATTAAGAAAGTGAATGAATGAGATCTGAGATCTCTACATTGTTTATATAGGGGAAGGAGTAGGCAAAAAATCATACTCTGTAATGCAAAAGTTCATTAAATAAAGCTAAGACCGAGATAAATAGAGCTCTGACTGACTCCTCGGCTGCCTTGACTGCTTTGATGGACTTTTAGCCGAGTTTTTCTCTTGGAATTCTTTCTGAACTTGGGCCGAGAGTGGGATATAAGCCACAGCCTCGTTAAAACCTCAATCCGGAAAACCCATTGGGACAAAACCGACAGTAGGAAAAAGAGTACCATGACTTACACCGCGGCCTACCTCAACAAGAATCCTGGTACAATATTGAAGTTAAAGGTGTAAGCTCATCTTCACTGAGAAACCATATTCTGGATTCCTTCTAGCATTGTCTGGACAGCTCCTGCCAACTTTCAAGACTTAGACCGCGTCACTGGACCCTCTGGAACGATCAAGGCTGCTTCTGGAACCTCATCTTGTGCCTCCGGTTCCATGATTGCATCATAACTTGAGAAAACTATGAAAATAGTATTATGTGATAAATGGAGGCGAGTTTTATATTAAATGTGTTCTTTAGTGAACATGATATTTTGTCAAAAACTGCTCTTTAATCACTCTAATCTAGTGGAGTTATACAATTTAAAAAAGAATTATGAACTCTCAAAAACATGATGTATGCAAAGTTGCATAATTCTGAGTTGTTTCATAAAATGTTGGGGAGATGTTGCTTACCACATAAATTTATGAGCAAGATGTCATATAAAATTTTAGAGAGGGAAAGTATATTCGTACAAATACCCAAAAGTGTAGGGATGCCTGGCAAAATTTGCAGTACCACCTCTTCAAAATGGTCAAAATTAGATATAACATGGTAATGGTAAATCTCATTATATAAGAATATGACATAAAACCATTAGACACTTGATCTCAGCTGGTGTAATCACATTAAATTACATCAAATCAAATTACAATTTACATAAAACCATTAGACACTTGATCCATTAAGGTTTGTCTCGAGATCAAGTAGTCAAATCATCAAAGGGAATGGGTTTAAAGTCTATGACTTAAGAGGGTGTTTGATGGAAACCTCACCCATGTGATTGGTTATCCCAAGATGTAAGGTTCAAAAGGGAAAGCTATAAAAACTCTAATAAACACACTGAAAGATTTATTGTCTTTACCTAGTTCCCAAGATGATAAACAGTGTTTATATACAATACCCATTCTATATCTAAAAGGTTAAGCATAGCTTTTAATGATAAATCAATAGCTTTGAGATATCAGTGGAGTATTAAACACACTTCTTAAAACAACGATTATTCGCAAATCACCTAGTAAGTGTGAAATAAGGCAGTTTCTAGGAGAATGAAAGATAAGCTATGTTCTCGAAATTCACTCATGATTACCCAGGCAAGTCCAAGGCCACAATGAACACAATAGAGAAATTAGTTCTATGAGAAAATAAAAATGGGTTGTACCTGTTGTCTCAGTTTACAAAAAAATCTGGGTGGTTCAGGACATCATGTTCACCTCCTGGCCAAATGAACCCGACAAATATTAGCATTGAGTGGCTCAAGGGTGAAACACACTACCATCTCAAACACAGTAATTTTTCGTTTATATTGTCGAATGTCTGTCTAGCTTAGTCAAATCGCGTCTAGTCTAGTCAAGTTTAGTTTATCGAGTCAATCCAGTCTTCGTCTGTCTAGAGTCATTTCTATAAAGGTGAGGATTGTCGAACCAAATTTAATCAAAGTCTTATGGCTTATTAATTTTAATAAAGTGTAAATGAAATAAGTGATTATACACTTACTTTAATAGAGGAGAGCAGATATTTTTGGCTCAAGATTGTTTTAAATTCCTGGTCAATTAATCATTTTAATTCAATACTGATTGTCCCTTTTTATTCACAATTGACTCACCATCAATTTGAATTTGTTACCTCCACATCTCTCCATTATTACCTAGATTTATTGGGAAAATCTATGAGACTAAATAAAAGGCTCTTGTTTTCCTTATTTGGTCTCTGACTCTCTCTCTCTCTTTTTACACAGAGAAAAAACACTCTTTTTTAAACCAAGAAAAACTCACACAAAACATAGCAATCTCTTTAATTTTCTTCTAAAAGTATGTCTGAAAATATTCGTAGAATATAAGTTCGTCGATTCTATAATCAAGTGCTGTGATTATAGTTTCAAGCGGTTGTATACTGGGATTCATTATCTCAAAACCCGTCACACTGCAAGAGATATTTTGAATTAAGAAAAGAGATCATCTCGCCTCCACTTTGCTGTCTTTCCTGAATCTGCTTCTTCTACAAACATTTTTTCTGAAAATCTTTCATATTTTATGTTGCAGTATTTGTCTCTGCGTTTTTACTTCCTACACTAATATGTTTGATGCCTCATAAACCTGTAAGGTTCCAAAGAAGACAAATGTAGGATCCATCAGTTTAGAAAATGAATATCTCCTAAACCAAAATTGACCTTGGTCTAAGTCCAACTCTCTGTGGTTCTGTAATTGATCAAGTTTCCAGAAAAAGTCGTTTCATAGATTGTTTCGTTCTAGTTTCGTCGGAATCCTCCAATAGGCTCGCGTATGTCCGAATCGAGTAAACTCGGGTTTGCCTGATGATTTGAAAACTGGATAACTCCTTCGTCTGAACTCTGATCGGACTGTTTCCACTTCGAGGCGTGATCTAGATGAGGTAGGAATGTATTAGAAGTGGTCTTTGGGTGGAATAGGTTATCATGTACTTTGTTTGTGCTGAACAATGCTCATATGTCTTCTCGGGTACTTTGAAAAGCATGCTTTGGGTAACTCTTGTTCCGGATCGAATAAGAGTTGAATTAACTGAACCAAAACATTCTAATGGCTTCTTGTTGATGGGATAGGAGACTAGAGAGAATAAATTAATGACAGTCCTCTCCCCTTTGCCATTAAATTGTTCAACAAGGGAGATCATCTCTCATTTACCCTTGGTTAGACGACCCTGATATCCGTTGCACCTAGTTCTTCCAAGTGTTGAGATCACCATGAGACGTTTTTATGGGTTGATGTCCGTATCATACCTTCTATCTTCAAGAATTGTTTTCCTCAAAACTTGTTTACCTGCACCTAGATAAGTCAAGTTAGTACCTTAAATTGTTTGAGGGTTTAGAAGTTTACCTCAGCTTGTGGCTTGTATGTGGCTCCCATATGATTTATGCTGGGCATCTGGTGGTTCTTATTTGATCTAAAAGGAAGCAATGACGCCTCTCCAAGGTTTGTGGCAGACTCCCTTGGGCCGAAATTCATTCGTCTTTGTGAAATGTCCTCTTTCACACTTTGTTTCTCCATTGTTCAGTTGGGGTTCTTGTTGCCTCTCATTCGTTCCTGCTTTTTTCTCTTCACTCTCGACAAGATACAAGTGGATTATAACAGTCACGGAATTATTTTGAAACAGAGGAACTTGATTCACTTAGGTAAGGCAATAACTTGGTCACAGTTTTGTTGTTCAAGACAAGCAACAGATTCAGTAATTTTCTCACACATTTCTGGAAGTAACAAGATTCAGAGTGTTAGAATCTTCAGAAATTGGAGAAACAGACTTACCTGATGCCATGGCATTTGGATATAATGTGTGATCTGGTGGCTCTTCTTGGATTGGATCGAAGTGAAGCTGGTGACGACTGGATCTTCCTCAGGGGTAGGCTGATAGATTTTGACCTCGTGATGCTCCTCTCCATGATCTTAACCTGTATTATTATACTTCGGGAAAGACAAGTGCATCAATCTTGAATTGGAAATTTCAAAATTCAACTTATCTACTTCTATAGTTTCTTCTATATCCAATTTAGTTGATGAAGTTGTTTCTGATTTTCTAGCTGGACAAGTCTTAGCAAAATGTCCTCTCTGATGGCACCTATAACAGATGGTGTCGTTCACCTTTAAAGTTTTAGAAGACATACATAGCCTTACTTTTCAGTTTGGCTCAAGTGTTTGCTTTGTCCTCCCCATGTGAGCTACTACTGATTGATTTTGCTCTTGTGTAACTTCTGTTGGCTGCAACTGGTTTCTTAGCCTTGATCTTCCTCTCCAAATTGTTCTGGAACACTTTCTTTAGCTTGGTTCTGTGAGCTTTCTTTGTCTTAACGGTTGGGATCAGCCTTGTTGCTATAATCCATCTTCTTGGCTTAGGATTGTTGTAGAACTTCAAGTTCCTTTGTCGGTTGCCTGAAATGTCTTCTTCAAACTCGTCATGTAAGAGCTGCTTCATCTCTTCCCAAGAGGATTCTGGTGCTTCACATTCAAGCCGAAGGTATGCATCTTGATCATAATGTCTAAATGCCTCCTCGGTTAGAGTATCTTCTGCATAAGATGTTTTCTCTTTCTCAAGAATGTTTTTGGCTTGAAACCAATTCACATGTCTCTCTCCCGTATTAGATAAGCTTTTGAACCTTGGTTATGAACTGAAAAACAAATGTGATGTGGTTCAAGGTCTTCTTCATCTACAACTGATGCATCACATGGTTCTCTAGTGGTTGATGTGCTCTCTGCCTGGTTCTATAGCCTCCTCTTTAAACTCTTACTCATCAACATAACCATCTTCCGGCTCAGACTCATAGTTCCAAGGCTCTTCATCAAACTGCTCGCCATCTTCTTATCTGATTTGAGAATCTGTTTCTTCACACCAAGGCTTTTGGTATGGCCCCACGAACTGATCTTTTTCTCTCCATGATCTTGTTCACTTTCGTAGTCTTCTCCTTCTAGATTGATATGAGATTCAGTCTCTCCACACCAAGCATCTTTTCATGGTTTTCTTTATATTGTATTCTTGGTCGGTTTCCTCTTCTCTGGACCATATCGATTGGTCAGTGTCGTCTTGACTACAATCTTGTGGCTCTGGTTTAAACTCTTCTCCATACTCAGAGCTTAGTAGTCATCTCCTACCCATGTTGGTGCCTCATCCTCTTCAATGAAGATTTGCTCTTCTTCTCCTCCACTCCAAGTGTCTTCATAGGCTTGGTAAGGATCTTCTTCCTCTGAATCTCCCATGGAGGCTTCTCCTTAATGTTTACCTCGCAGAGCTAAGAGACAAAGACGATTCAGAACCAAATTTTGCAAGAAAATGAAAGAAAATTAAAAGGAAAAAATAGAAAAATGATTTCCTTTTTCTTTACTACAACAAATTAAAAAAGTTCAAATTTTGTTTTTTTTTAAAAAGAAACTATTCTTTATTTTTACTGAAAAAAAATCAGAAACTAATAAGATTTATTTATGTTATCGAATTTAGAAAAACAAAAAAATCGAGAAAAAAAATTCTGTGGATCTTTTTGAAATAAAATAGAAATAAATTGCTGTTATTTTATTTAAACGAATGAAAAATATAAAAGAATTTTTTATATATTTAAGAGAAACAGAAATAAGAACAAACGATGAACATAATTATAATTATTTTATTCTTTTTTTGAGTTTTTCAATTTATAATGAAACAAGAACAGAATTGAAATAACAAGAACAAAAGTTAAAGAACAAAAATACCTTTGATAAAAACCTGTGCTCTGATACCAAATGATAAGATTGGAATCCACCAAATCTTATTGTTAAAAAGGTTGTCAAAGACAACAAGTTTTGTTTCGTAAGTGAGCGAGAATAGAGGTGAAGGATGGTGGTTTTGATTGACTCTCTCAATCGATGGTGATTTACTCTCTCAATCATTGAACAAATAAGGTTGCTTGAATCTTGCAAACAAACTTAATCCGCAGATCAATAGATAAGAAGTGCCTCACACACTTAGAATCTAAGATAAGAACAATTCTCCAAAGACTTGACTTTAAAAGAAAACAAAATACTCTGTATTAGTTTGATTGAAATGTGAATTTACAATGAAGACAAAAGTCTTATATACTGCTCTGTACAAGACTATTCTAGAAATCAAAAGACAAGGAATAAAAATCAAAAACTAGCCGTTAGACTCATACTGAGTGAATCTCGGCAAGACATGGAAATTGGAGCTATGCTTGAGTCTTGACAGCTTGGGCGAGAAGTTGTGGTGTTTGTGGACGTCCAGGTTTAATGAATAAGTCTCCAAAACGCGGAAGCATAGAGGATTTAGTCGTTGGTCGTTTATTGCACCAAGTGTGAACACGTCTATAGATGATAAGTTGAAGGATCCACCTGATCCAGTGGATGATGGTGCATGGTAAGATGATCCTTGAAGTTTCTGGTTGGTGAATAAGTTCTCCTTGGTCGCCACATTCGGTTTTGAGATGGATTAAAGTTGTTGGCCTTCATGTTTACCATAAACAGACAATTGGATCTGCCTGATCCAATACATTTTGGTGTAGCATGGAGTGTTGTAGAAAGCTTCTAGAAGTATCTTTGAGTCTCTTGGGTGCCACTGATATGTTTGAACTCTCATAAACCTGTAATGTTCCAAATAAGGAAAATGTAGGATCAATCGATTTAGAAATTGAATATCTCCTAAACCAAAATCGATCTTGGTCTAATTTCAAATCTTTTTTGTTTTGTGATGGATGAAGTTTCCAGAACAAGTCTTTTTATGGTTTGATTCGTTCCACTCCAATAAGCCTACGTATGTCCGAACCAAGTAAACTCGGGTTTGCCTCATTTGGAAACCAGATAACTCCTTCCTCTGAACTCTGATCGGACTGATTCCACTTTGAGCCGTGATTTAGATGAGGTATGAATGTATTATAAGTGGTCTTTGGGCTGAACTGGTTGATCATGTACTTCGTTTGTGCTGAACAATGCTCATATGTCTTCTTAGTTGCTTTGAAGCATGTTTTAGATCGAATAAGAGTTGAATTAACTGGACCAAAAAATTTTGATGGCTTCTTGGTGATAGGATATGATTCTAGAGAGAATAAATTAATGACAGTCGTCTCCCCTTTGCTATTAAATTGGTCAATAAGGGAGATAGTCTCTCATTTACCCTTGGCTAGACTCTCATGTCTGTTGCACCTATTTTTTCCAAGTGTTGAGATCACCATGAATCGTCTTGATGGATTGATGTTCGCATCAGCTGGGCATGGAGTAGATATCTTTCGAATTTGTGGATGTCCGTTACTCCAACAATTGTGGGTATAAACGAGTACCGTTAAAAAGCTGAATATTCTTATTTTTACTCCACTTGTTCTCAAAATCTGAATTCAAATATTTACTCTTTTGTCCATATCAGAACTTCTAAACAACATGAATTTCTTTTTTCAGGATATGTAACCATAGATTTAAAGATAATTGTTATAGCTAGAAATAGAACAATCACAATTTATAAATAATAAAAATAAAGGCCTTAAGTTGGGCTAATCTTTACGAAAAGAAGAACCTTAAGTTTGTTGCTCGATTTGAACAAACAAGATTCCAGAACGTTTGGACAAGGTCTTAGCAAAGTAAATTGGATTAATGTGTCGATTTTCAAGAGAGTTTACAAAAACAAAAATAAGAAAAAGAACAAAGAAAATAAAATTGTTTGAGTCTATAGCTAGTTATAGTAGAAAATAGTGTTACAACTGGGATTTCGGATGGAAAAAGTTTTATCTTGCTCCTTGTCCTTGTTATATACTCTAAGATTGTGTTTAATGTCTCTGATTACTCCGCCTAATTTGCCATGATTAATTTTTAAGTCTGTAGATCCAACTGTTATGTCTAGGCGCCTTAGTTCACTGGTTTGAATGAGTCTTTGGTCAAGGGAGATTGATTAACGGTTCGGCATTTATTACTATCTGACCGTAGACTTTCACCTACCTATTAGATTTCAATCTGATATTTTCTGGGCTTCTTTATTCTGCTGGACTTTTTCTGCAAATTAATTAGGCCTGATTTTATCCATGTTTTTATCTCCGCAATAAAATTATATTTTTGATTTGGTAAATATCAAAGTTATCTGTTTTAGTCGAAAATTTTAAAAAAATTTCATTAGGTAAATACATAAAGCCCTAATCGGAATTGTTCCACTGTTAGTCTAACTTATAACTTTGTTACAAATGGTCAGTATGACCTTTTTCCAATCTTCTAAACAAAACATGTTATGAGGTTAGGGAGATAAGTTCTGTTCTGGTGTATACTTATTCTACAATTGTTAAAGACTAATCAGAGTGTTTGTTACAACAAAAAAAGAAAAGAAAGACTAATCAGAGTGTTTGTTACAAAAAAAAAAAGACCAAACAGAGTGGTCTGGAAATTGTAATGGACGTTCGGAGTTAGTCTAAATTATTTTTTGATGTCGGTGTCTCTTGAATGATTTAATTTAATTAGATGTAGAACCTAACCAAAATCTCAACAATATCTTGTTTTTTCTCTTTGGTTCATCAGATTCTCTCCTCAGCAATTGTTGTCGCGATATGCATTTTAATTATATATAATATAGTCCGTGAACTTTATTTTATTTTAACTTGTCACTTATTATTAGCTTTGATTGGAGGTTGTTTATTTAATTTAGAACTAGATTCTAACCCGTAATGGTGGGTGGGCATAATTTTTTGTCTTAATTACAATTATACTAACCTTTATAATTATCGATTCTCCATTCACTAAGAAGACAAAATACCAAATCGATTGTTCTAGCATTTTATTTGTTCACAAAGTTAGTTGTTATGCCATTAAATGCAACACACTTAATGACAATATTCTGCATAAAATTGTAAATATATAACATATCAATATCGTCTTCCAAAATAAGTAATGCCTATGCCAAATGTACTAAACTTGTGTTTCGGAGATGGAATTCAATAGATAATCGTCTCCTATTTGTAGAAATCAATTGAACATTCAGAACAAGTTCAACTTTACCGACATAGTCTAAAACCCCAACCAAATCTGTTAAATAAATGAAAGTTAACAACTGAGAATCAAACTATTATGAAAAATGATAATCAATTAAATCATATTGATATATAACTGGTAATATGGTAAATAACAAAAAAAAACAGAAAATAAATTACCAATCGGAACAGATTTTTCAAGTTTGCCTTCTAATATTTGTTCAAATTCCTTCACATCCAGAAAAAGTGAATTGGAGAGAGGTCGATGTCGATCAACCTTGGTATGTCTAGTCAGGACGAGATTGTACTGATGATTTGTAAGTCTCTCAATCCAGTTGTTCCAGTCGGTGTTTCTCACCAGAAATCCGCTAAATTCGAACCAGTCACCTTCGTGACATGTACGAAGGTAGTAATCATGCACCAAATTGTAAGCGGTTGCATGATTTTGTTGCTCTATACAAACCAAACATTAAAACACGTAAATCAAAATTATGTTATTAACAACAAAAAAGTTTGAAAATGAATAATAGGTATAAAATCTAATTGTTCCTTTTAACACAAACCTCTTCGTCGACTAATATGAATTCAAGTTGATCTTGTCCATACAAATCCTTGACGATCCATCGCTTGTATATCATCACACGAATAACGTAGTTATCTTTAAACGGGTATACCAAATTGTAATAAGACATTATCTCAGAACAAAAAAATCGACTAAGTGATTTTTGTTTGTTTGAAATTTTGTTAGCGATTTTTGAGGAAAAAAGAGAGAAGATCTTTAATGATATGATATATAAAAGACGTTAGTAGTTATTTCTATATAATGCAGTTGAGAGAAACAATAAATGGTGACGATTCATTAAAGATAATTGAATATAAAATGCATTAATCTTTAGTGTAATGATTACCATGGAGAAAAACAAAATGTCTAGTATCTCACATATCTATATAGCATCAGTTATAGAATATGCCTATAAATTTGTTTATTATATCTTCCTAAATCGTAAGTACGCACAGATTTGTTATAGTTTAATACTTAAGAAATTTTATACATATAAATCTAACATATCTTATAAAATTATCAAAGAATATCCAATATGTAAATTAATTCATTATATATCTATATAAATGTTTTGATTATATGGTTTCATTTCCCTAATGACTGGTTAGTATCATTCAATTATACATCATTTTATTTGATTTATTACATGGTTTCATTGCATGCAACTTCAGTCGATTACCGAAACGATAATCATTAGTATTGAGAAGTAAAAAAAGCTGACATTATGACTGTTTATTCCGTAGCATGCATACGCTTTGTAGTGTAGTTATCAACACTTGTTCTATATATTTATGTGATTATATGTATAAAAAAATTGTATGTGATTATCTAGATTTTAAAATAAACGAATAACACAACAGGAAATCACTTAGACATCATTATATCGAGGAATTATAGCATCATAAATTACCATAAAACAGAAAAAATACAGAATCTAAATATTAAAATTAAAAATTTAGCAGAAAAAAAAAACACATCGTCTTCCCATCACGTTTTTTTTGTAAGTTGCAAATATAATAAAAAAATCTTATACATAAGTATATTGAGTTAAATGGATTCAAAAGTAGACAGATGTTAACTAACTTGCAAATTTCTCAATCTTTGTGACGACTATAGACACAATAAACAACATTATATGAATACTCGTTGTTGCTGAATTGTCTTCACGGCTGAGAATTACTCCAAAATCTTCAATATCATACCATTGATTTTCAACCAACAAACAATCATAATGATCAATGAATTTTTTGTTCACTCTTGCTTCTATAGTATGTCCCTAACACAATACAAATAATAAGTTTTATGAGCAATATAATATTAGTTCAGTCGTATAAGCTACAAAACAATAAATTCATATAGTAA